GTGGGTGTGCGTGTGCAGCGGTTGGCGGCTGCATGGCCGCGGGTCAGGGGCGGCGGTTTTTTCGTGGTGGTGAGCGGGGCCTTCGGAGCGCTTTTCACAGAGATTTGACGCCGGAGCAAGGGCAGGGAATGTTAGTTACAGAAAGGTGCTAAGAAGGCACGGCAGCGTGCGCAGGGCCTTGGCGAGCCGCGCGTAACGCAGGTTCGCGGGCCTGCGATGGCGCCTGGCGTTGCTCCGTGTGGTGCGAGGCAGCTGCGCCGGCGCGGGAGGGAGCCTGGCCTGCGCTTCAGGACTGAATTGCGCTGCAACGTACCGTTACTGTGATTTACAAAGATGCACGTCACCTCTCTATCCGCTGGTAACGATCTGGGGTTCTGAATGTCTTTAACGTTAAGCACTTCCTTTGTCCTCTCATCCACCCATGAAATACGAAGGGCTGTACTGAAGTGCCAGCTCCTAGAGATGCCTCTGTGTTTTGTGCTATACTGGTTTTGGGATTCAGTTTTTAATCAGTTCTGGAAGCGTTTGTTGTGGTAAGCCCGTAACCAGGTGCCTATAGAGTCACATGCTGGTTTTTTTCCACTGTAGTACATTTAGTCTTTAATTTGTGCCATGGCAACATCACTTCAGTGGTTAGGATGTCTCAGACAGATGAATGTACAGCCTATGGCACTCAAGGAGGTAAGGAATACAGAGCAGTTCTCTCATTCAAACTGTAACTATTAGCGAAGGAGATAGGCATTTTGAGAGCTTGATTAACATCGTTACTATCTCCTTAAGTTATTAAGGGACAGAGAAAGAAAAACTGAGTTTCTGGATAGATTATCAGGCAAGATGTAAAGATGAGGTATAGTTCTGGATATGCACAGATATGCAATCTACAAAGCAGAGGAACTTTAAATCAGCCTCTGCAGGAAATTGGTATTACCACTGTTGCGTAGCTTCTGAACAAAGCTTTTCTTGCTAGTTCATTCCCTGACTGCAGATTTGGACTTGCAGCTTCCATAAAAGGCCTAGAAATGACGTTCCAGGTGTTGTCTTGGTGGCAGCACTTTCTGTGATTGCCTCTAAGCTCACATCCTAGCACTTCAGTCTGATTTGTTTTGATTCTTTCAGTGAATAGACAGATGGCCTTTCATTTAGAAATCCTTAGCAGAACAAAACGTTCAAAATGACAGTTAATATCTTACAACAAGTTCCCCTATGGGTTAAGGGAGCGTAAGGACAGGAAGTGGTTTGAGTGGAAGTGACTTGAAACTGGTAGAGAACATCAAAAGAAAAAGAAGAATATAGCAGCTGCTGCACATCCTTTCAACTATCAGTGTTAAAAAACATAACACAAGAACATTAATGTGCCCTGTGAGAAAGAACTGAAACATACACAGCTTTCTTTTTTATCCTGAGTCACTGTTCAGCATGAATACAGCAACTGCAAAATGAGCCTTGTAGAAATATGGAGAACATCCTTTGCTATATTGATCACTTGCTAGTTTCATTGCTCAAAGTGAAAAAATATCTGACAACTGTGTAAGTGTTCTTTTCTATCAGTCTGCTAATATGACCAAACATAAGCTATATAACTCTCTCAAAAATACTGTAACTACGGAGAGGGATGTAGAAAAGAGCATCACATATGAAGACAACAGAGTAACAATGAGCTCTCCTATTGGAGTAGAAGCTTCTACCCTAGAAAGCGGAGATGCTGACCTAAAAATCAGGCTGAGAAACCTGAATGACATCGCAACAACTAAAGAGCAGTTGGAACATATACAGTGATGTGCAGCCTACACAGTGGAGGGATATCAGGAAAGTATCCCTGCAGATTATGGGGAAAAGGAGAGAGAAGATTGTTTTCCAGTAATAACCATTGAGAACTTCAGTGCAGGTGTTTTAGAACCTGACTGTCAGACACAGCTATAGTTACTGTCCTAGAAATGAAGCATTTCACCTGGAGGGATGTTTGTGAACACCACATCTGACAACAAATCCCAGGGGATAATGGGAGATAAAAAGCAACCAAAAGAATGTGAGAGCCAAAATGAAATCTTATCACAAAACAGACAAGTGGAAGACCTCCCAAGGGTACAACCAAAGACACATTCAGGATCAGGTGTTTTATGTCATTTCTGTCATCTTTCCTCTTGCTCCCCTCCAGACTTACCTTGTACCTTCAAACAAGCAGTCTGTGAGGAAAGGAAAACATCCTCATTTCTATAGTGGTACAGAAACTTCTGAAACCTCAGAAGTTTTAATCTACCCTGCATAAACAGAAGCATGCATGAAGTGGCATATACGCTCTTTTGAGACTTGACTTAATTCATGTTTCTGTTGAAGTCTACTGACCATTTGCAAACGCTCTACTACCAAGAGAAACGAAGAGAAAGCAGTTTCTTGTCATCACTGGGAAATCTCACATTTCACCTCCAGATCCAGTCAGCTACAAATCGTTAACAGTTGTGCTAGCTACTAAGATAAAGGGAGATGAAACCCCCACCAAACTAGAGGACCACATCTTAGTTCTCCATCAAGGTAAGCAAACAAGAAGGCAGCAAGCTACCGGTGAAATAAATGTAGAACAAACCTGAGATTTGACCTCAGCCTAGGATGCACAGACTCTCATGGAATGAGCCTATCTTCAGTTTTCAGTTTCACCAAATAAAATTGCAGTTTTTCGCCATCCTTCAAACCCAATCCTCCTCCTCTTAAGCTTGCTGTTCATTTGCTTTAATATTTAAGACTTCCAGTTCACCCTTGTCAGCTACAGAGCTCTCCTAGTCCCCAGCCTCCCTGAAGAAGTCCACTTAGTAGTGCACTTCTGCCCTGGACTTACAGCTCTTCAGAAAACCTTTCTGTAAGGGATACACCTATGCGCAGACCAACAGCAGCCTGGGTTTCATCTGAATTGGGACTCAAATCCACCCTTCCAGTCCCCACTGCCATTCTCTTGAGCCTTCTTCCTTAAAAGTCCTATTTCGGGAGAGTGGGTTGGCTTTAGCTCACTCTTTAGCTCACAGATGGCCTTGTAGTGGAACTGTAATACAGATATGCTAAATATATAAGTAGGATGTTGCATTTGCATTTACGTTTGCTGCCTGAAGTTTGATGGAAAATGGTAAGATGGACAGCTTCCAAACGTTTATGTACAGCATAAATAATTAACACAATAATACAGGAAAAAGCTCTTTTAGGAAGGAGTAGTTAAGAAGTTTCATTTATGAAGGAATAAATATTCCTAGAGTGTTGTTCTGTTCTAGATCTATTTTTTTCTTTTTTTTTTTTTCTTTTGGTCTGCACTCTAGAGAGGATGCTCTGCCTTTTCCTGCTACTTTTATAGGTTTGGAGAATCTTGATTTAGAAGATTCAACTATTATTCTGTTCTGTTGCTGATTTCCTATGCCCTGTAGACACCTTTCCTTTCTTATCCTGTGTTCCTAAGTTGAAAAAAGGAAACAGAGAAAGGAATACATATGGTCTGCATTGTAGTCTAGGACA